AGGGGCCTCGAGGCATGCTGGCAGGGAACGTATTGGGAGAGGGCTGTGGGCAAGTGTAACGGGTTCCGGAGGCACTTGTAGAGGTAACTTCTTTATTACAATCCAACACTCCAACAGTCCAACACTCCAACACTCCTGATACTCTGTTACAGCCTAGGTACACAGCCTAGGTACACAGCCTAGATACTCTACTCTGGCTACGCTCTGGAACTCGCCCTCACAAGGTCGTAGAGTTGGGAGTTCCAGAGTCCCACCACTGGCTCTCACAACATCCCAGGGTCCTGAGATGGCTGGTCTTGGGTCTTGAGCTACAACTGGCCCTGATAGTCCAGGGAGTTCCCCTTTATGCCTAGCCCCCAACGAGGGGTGGGGCCGTGTGCGCCCCCAGATATCCCACAGAGCACACACAGCCCCCCCCCCCCCGTTGGTGGCGCCAAGCGGCTTTAGCGCCTGGGCCGCCCGAGAACCCAACGCCTGGCGCCAAGAGGCTTAAGCGTCTGACCCGCCTGGGAACCCAGCACCTGGCGCCAAGGGGCCCAAGCGCCTGGCCCGCCCAGGGTGCCAGAGCCCCCAGCAGCCCCTCCCTTCTTATGTCACTACACAAGTATGGACTGGGGCAGTGGAGGGCCGTGTATTTTACACCTAGGCCTTCAATTGAATGGAGGATAGCCTCTTGCAATTAAACCACCTTCGAATAATCTCACCATGACACTAGGACTATAGACTAGTGTCTTTCGACGTAACCACCCCATATTCACAGCGACCGTAACCTTTATCAAGTGGAATAGTGTAGCCGACTAGTTTGCATCGCATTATGTTTCTAAGGTTTGTTGAGTTCACGTCTCCCATCTTCTTGCTGTATTTGCCTCCGTGCAGTTTGTCATTCTTTGTGTGCTATGTGCGTGATGTCCCTCTGTGTGTTCCCTCGCTATGTGTTTTGCCCCATTTTCACCTGATGAGCGCTTGTGTTGCGTTCGAAATGTCGTGATTTATTTGAATTGTATTTTATTCATGATTTATTCTAATTGTATTTTATTTCTACACACGTGTCTTTCCCGAAATAACCAATGAGTATAGTAATTTCTGCAATCACGAAAGCCTCAATTCTAGATGAATCCACTTCTACGGGGAGGTTATCCTTACAATTGTCCATATTTCCCTGTGTATCTCTACTTGTAATTTTGCTTAGTTTTAGTTTACCGTGGTTTGTGTGTCCATTTTAGTTTTCCCATGTGCTTTCTTCGTTGTCGTTTCCCCATTGTTTCCCACGATTTGTTTCCTGCATTGGGCCTTCTCTACGCCCCTTCCCTCCCCCCACCTCTACAGCCTATATAAGTCCCTGTACGCTATTCCTCCGGGCGTCTGTCTGTGTGTGCCTCTCCATGTGTATGTAGGGCTTGAGAAATACACGTCAAGCGCTGGGTTGAGATGCGTGCACGTGGCGGACAATGAGGGCAAACGGGGACACAGGGCGCTGAGCGACTTACTGTTGTTATTGTACCAATTAAGGTGGCGTGATAGTTAAGGGGGGCTGCAGGTGGCCGGGGGTAATTGAGGACGCAAGCCGGTGATTGGACGAGAGGTATGGGTGTCTGGAATTGGCGTCGCTGTACCTACAACAACAATGCCACGTCGCACTGGGGGCTGGGGGCGAGTGGCGAAGCGGGGGATGACCCAAATAATTAAGGGGAATTGGTTCAGGGATAAAGGCAGAGAGCGTGGAGAGAAATGGGAGTTGGTGCCTGGGACGAGTGATGAACGGACGGAGAGACGGAGCAGCGGATAGAGTGGGTATAGTATAAGGTAGCAGTGGACAAAGAGAATACAGTGTACGGTAGCAGTGGATAGAGAGAATACAGATAAAATAGCATTGGATGGAGCGAATACAGCATAAGATAGCAGCGGAGTAACGGACCTCGGTGGAGAGAGAGACAACGGAGAGCTACGACGGAGTGGGATGATAGAGTTAACAAAGAGCGACCGAGCTGGAGAGAGAGCAAAGAGGAGGATCGCTGGAGGAACAGGAGAGCGAGCGAAGCCAGTGGAGCGGAACGAGCAAGCGGACGGACACTAAGTTATGTTGATGGGGAGTTGTGAGTTGAAGTATATGGAGGGGCATTGAGTGATGTCGACGGATATGTGAAACTATGAGTTAATAAAGTACCGAGAAAGACAAAGAAGCTGTCGCGTCAGTACGAGTCCTACATGTGTATGTCTCTTGGTGTGGTGTTGCTCTGGTTGTTCCTCTGTGCTGCCCAAAATCTTTCCCTGTGTCTTCTCTGTGTATGTATCTATGCTACCTTGGTACCTCGTGTCTGTTCACGAGTCCTTGTCCTCTGTTTACGTTGGTATGTTCAGCCCAGAAGATGAACACAAAATTTAGCAGTCTTTTGAAATACGTGGTCAACCAGGTTAGTGTCTAACTGTGTTGTTGGCCGACTGGTTTGCATCACATTATATTTCTAAGGTTTGTTGAGTTCGCGTCTCACATCTTCTTGCTGTATTTGCCTCCGTGCAGTTTGCCATTCTCTGTGTGCTATATGTGTGTAGTGTTGTAAAGGACGGACTTCTAAACTTCTTTATGGCACACACTTTTTATTATCTTAATACACAGTCCCTATCACACAAAGGGGTATATGGTCCCCTCACCCGTTACCCTGAGGAGACACAGCCTCCGGACCTTGCAGGCTATCTAATCTCCCTGCTATCCCAGCGTCCTCTGGCTGGACCTAGGGGATCTCTCCCCGACCACTGGTTACACTGAGCCCTAGCCCTGATAAGGGCTGGTCCAGGATCCTAGATTTCTTCGGCCGACTTGGGTCTTCGTGTAGCAGAACTGGCCAAGAGCTCTCAGCGCTCTGGCTTTTTTACCTGTTCGTGGCCGGGTTGTCCAATCCCCGGCCACCTTGTGGGACCCTCCGATTGGTCCTTCCCAATTTGGCGTTTGGGTCCTACCTCACCCCATTTGACCCTGACCGTTTGATTGAGCGGGAAAACCTTGTTTACGATCCGCTCTCTCACAGTTTGCGAACAGCGAGTAGTTAACACCACTACATGTGTAATGTCCATCTGTGTGTTCCTTCGCTATGCGTTTTGCCCAATGTCAACCCAATGATGAGCGCTTCTGTTGCGTTCGAAACGTCGTGATTTATTAAAATTTTATTTTATTTCTACATACGTGACTTTACCGAAAGAACCAATGAGTATGACGTTAATAGACTGCTGGGAACAAACTTTGTAAAATAAATATACAATTTATGAAAATATACATTAATTTATATTTTAAAAAAATCTGATTCTGACAATCTCTAGGCCAGCAGAGAATGCCTTGCTGGCCCTGACCGCCCACCTCTGGACTGGGGGAAAATTAAACCTCGTGTCGGCTCTACTTTACGTAGGTATACAATGTGCACACATCACAATCACACACAATATAAAAACATCACACACAATATACACACCACACACAATATACAAACATCACACCACACACTATACAAATGTAATAAGAGCCTATGTCGGATTCACGGGGTGATCGGCTTTGCCGGTCCCGCTTTACAGCCAATGGGGGGAGAGCCTGGGAGCATGGCCTCGGCGTGATCACGGGATGTCAGCTAGGTGATTGGTTTCGTTGGTCTTGGCCTCAGCCAATGGGAAGACAAGTCAGGGGCGTGGTCCCGGGAGTTGATGGGGGGATCTGGAACATTCGGCGCAGGCTATTGAGGATTGGCTGGAGTGTACCACGTGACCCAGGCATTAAATAAGGGGAGAGAGGAGAGACACGGGGTCAGACACGGAACTCCGGGTGCCACGTAGTGGTGGGTCTCTGGTGACTGCCCGCTTCCCGTTGCCTGCCAGCAACGGGGAGTGTTTGTGAACTGCAAAGGAAGTAAAATAAAAGGACCGATTCTACAAGCCGTCTCCAGCGTGTTATTACACAAACATCACAATATATAAATACATCACACACGCACAATGTACATTCATACAATGTACACACACAACGTACAATGTACACATTACACACACACAGACCATACACATCTTAGGCGTATGTATATTAAACTTCTTTCGCACCGGACGTAGCCAACCGTGTACAAACGTATCTCGCACACAAATGTACACACAGCATACACAGTAAACACACAGCGTACACACATCACTCACAGTGTACACACGGTGTACACATAGTAAACACACAGACCACACACAACACACAATGTATGCAGACAGTGTACACAGCGTAAGTGCACACAATATACACACAGCACGCACTGTACGTCCATGGAGTGTACAGTGTACACACACGACACAACCCTCACAGCATTACTTGCCTCGCTCTCTGACGTAACCACTCAGCCTGGCGCCATCGGTGTGTGACGTCATGTCAGCTGGCTCACTGCCGATTCCCGTTCCTGGTAAATTCATGTGGGCAAAGCCACGCCCATATATGGAATAAATCATGAACATAAATTCTAGATTTGAAGCTTTCGTGACTGCAAGGATTCATATTCTTAGGTTTTTTCGGTAAAGTCACGTAGGTAAAAACATCAAAAATTAATGAAAATAAAATAAAACAAAAAATCACGACGTTTCGGAGGCAACACAAGTCTCCGTCATGAAGGTGGGACCGTCACAGCCGAATTAGCTCACTTGATACAGCTAATTCGGCTGTGACGGTCCCACCTGATGACGGAGACTTGTGTTGCCTCCGAAACGTCGTGATTTTTTGTTTTATTTTATTTTCATAAATTTTTGATGTTTTTACCTACGTGACTTTACCGAAAAAACCTAAGAATATCATGAACATAATTTATGCGTTCTAGATTTGAAGCTTTCGAGGCAACACAAGCTTCCGTCTTCAGGCCTCCGAAACGTCGTCATTTTTATTGTTTTATTTTTATTAATTTTAATTTAATTTTTTACCTACGTGACTTTACCGAAAGAACTAAGAGTATAATTTATGCGGTAAGAGGGTGTCCTTCACCAGTGACGTCATGTAATCACCGACACGTGTTTCTGCGTGACGTCACGAAACTCCAGGAGCCGCAGCGCTTTGCTCGTTACTCGGTTTGATCCGAGGTGAGTTGTTGACATCGTGGTTGTTATGGTTGTTGTTTACCCAGGTAAAGCTTGGTTTGTTCTTTCTCTCGTAGGGGCATCAATTGAGTAGCAGCTATGGATCGATGTCCAGGTTGTGACATTGCAACAATACGATGTGGGGCCTAGCCATGCAGGGCTTGCCTCCTGCCCTTGCCTGACTGATTTGCTTGAATTGTTTAATTGTCTTAACCTACCTCACAAAGTCTCGATACTCGAGTTCAGAAGCCTTCTGACGACTCTTTCTGCACTCGGGGGTCCGATGCTTCTGCACGTATTCCCGATTGAGTCAACGATACAATTTCACAGATTAGACGGAAGTGTTCGTTTCCCGCGTGGAGTCCATCGAGCTAAGAAACTCGTTTTCAAGGGCAGACAACAGCAAAGCAACGTAATCATAATAGCAATGATGTAAAGTTATACGCACTTAAACGTTAGTAATTTTAATAATAGAGGCGGTTTAAATGAGGACAGATGGCAGAATGGGGATGCCAAGAGACTAAACTACGTGGTTACAAACAAGTTTGTGCAGCTACATTATATTATTTTGATCCAAATTGCGTGAAACCTGGGAAACTATTACCCTAAGTCACTCGGACTCACACAGAGACCCACACCCTCACAAAGACACACTTGCACAGAGATGCACTCGCACAGACTCACAGATATGCACACTCACGGAGAGGCAGACTTGCACAGACTCGCACAGATACTTGCACAGACACACACTCGCACAGACTCGCAGATATGCACAGACTCGCACAGACACACAGACTTACACAGAGACGCACAGAAATCCATAGGCTCACACACAGATCCACTCAGACTAACTCTAAAATTAATTCACTCACACAGACACACATACTCACGCAGAGACAAAGACTCGCAGACAATCAGACGTGCTTCGCGTTTTTGGATTGTCCAGTAGTTTAATAACAAGTCAGACAACGAAAGAGTAGATCTATGAACACATAGTCTTGTAAACAAAAAAAATGCATGCGGTTAATACAGACTTGATACTTGTGGTAAAATATACCATGAGCACGATTGGTTAATGCTGACTTGTTGATGCCTTGCAAAATGTGGCGTGTTTGCAGTTTGGACTCATACACTTAATTTGTATTTATTATTTGTGAATTGCTTACCTTAAGTCTATTTTGCCAAAATGTTTTGTGGTTAATGCAGATGATGCCTTGCAAAAGGTATCTAGTGTTTTACATCTAAACACCTATTCTTGGTTCCTTCGGTAAAGTCGCACCTGATGATGATTGCTTGTGTTGCAGTCGAAACATCGTGAGAATTTTTATTGTTTTATATTTATATTATTTTATTATTTCCCTTCTACATGACTTTACCGAAAGAACCAAGAATATGAATCCCTGCAGTCACGCAAGCTTTAAATCAAAATCTAAACACCTATTCTCATTTTTCATACTCTGCCCTACCTGAGCTATAAGTGTTCGCCTTTTGGCGTTCTCTGGTCTAACACTGGTGAGACAAGGCCATAAAGAAGGATGTATCTGGTGTAAGCCAGTCAGTTTCTAGAACAATGCTAATATTTTCAGAGCATGTTTGTTTCCAGGTTTTTCCACAAGTACGTGTAGTTAATGCAGACTTATTTCCTTGCAAACGCTATTTGGTGTTTGAACATAACACCTTATGTTTTATTGTCAGAACACATACACATCGAGTGACACACACATGTATAGACTTACATACACATGTGGACTAACACACACACATATGGACTGACACACATACACATGGACGTACATGGCCACATCACAGACTGGCAGACCGTCGCAGCATCATAAAAGCGCAGCAAAAAAGGGAAAATTTTGCAAGCTAAAAATAAAGAGTTTTGTGCACACAAACATTATTATTGTAACATCTCGCAAAGTATTTGTTTGATAATAGTAAGCGAATCAACGGGAGTTCTAAATGTGTTTAATAATAGAAAACATTGGACTTGATTTGTTAGTGTAAGAAGCTTGGAAATTTGTACTTACCAAAGGCGTGTTGAGGCCTTGTGCCATGCGTAGCCCCCCTCCTGGCATACATTGGCGAGGCGGCGGAGTTGGCACGTTTCCAGGCTAGGGGCTGGGCCGCTATCCCCCCCCCCCAGCATCCCCCGCCCGTGCAAGAATAATGTTATGTAAGCAGTAAAATATTATTATCTAAGGAGTCTGTAGTATAAACTGGACACATCGTGTTTGGGGGGAGGGGGGTGAAGATGACGTGACACTGTGAAGAAATATCCACAGCGTTATGTGTCTATGTGTTGGCTTTAAACGCGTAAAAAGAAATGTCCCCGTGAGATGGAGCCAAGGCCCACCCCCCCCACGCAATTGGCGTCAGTTGGTACGGTCGATGTCGCGCAATAAGTAAATAATTTATAGAAACGGCACAAATGTGTTAATTAAACTACTTTAAAGTTTAGGGATGGGAAAACGAAATAGCCTATTCCCACCGCGGGGCTTAGGGCGTGCCGCCCGGCAAATTCTTTTCTACATATAGCCCACCGTCCGAGAGCCAAATCCCCCGCAAGCGCGAGCGCGCGGAGACTTTTATATATAAGACTAGTGGACGTACCCGGCGTTGCCCGGGTGAAAAATATATTTCTTAAAAACTTACATATATATACACAGATACTAAGGTATTGTCAAAGCCCGGTGGGCCGTTTGTACATTTCTATACCAACAAATATATAAGAGGCTTGCACAAGTCTAAAAAGTTGTAGAAAGTGTGGGGTAAATAGTTGATGTAAAAGGTTTCCGAAAATTGTGGACCCCCCCCCCCCCCCCTCAAAAAATATCTTTAACCCTCGTAGGTATATATACATACACACATTACATACAACAGAGGAAGTAGTATCTATTGACTCTGTAGTAGTATCTACTGACTGTACTGTAGTATCTACTGAGCCAGTAGTAGCTACTGACTGTGTAGTAGTATTTAGTGACTAGTAACTATTGACCATAGTAGTATTTACTGGGCCTACAGTAGTATCTACTGACTACATAGTCGTAATGACTAACTGTATAGTATCTGCTGACTCTATAGTAGTATCCACTGACTATAGTAGTAACTACTAACTCTATAGCAGTATCTACTCACTCTATGATAGTATCTACTGACTCTAGTAGCTACTCACCGTGGTAGTATGTACTGACTGTATAGTAGTATATACTGACTATAGCAGTATTGACTGACTGTAGTGGTATATACTGACTGTTTTAGTATCTACTAACTCTATATAGCAGTATCTACCAACTCAATAGCAGTATCTACTATCACTACAGCAGTGTATACTGACTGGTGGTACCTGCTATGATTACAGCAGTGCATATTGTGGTGGAACCTGCTATGATTACAGCAGTGCATACTGACTGGTGGTACCCGCTATGATAACAGCAGTGCATACTGCTGTGGTGATACCTGCTATGGTTACAGCAGTGCATACTGACTGTGGTGGTAGCGTCTATGATTGCAGCAGTGCATACTGCTGTGGTGGTACATACTATGATTACAGCAGTGTATACTGCTGTGGTAGTACCTATGATTACAGCAGTGCATACTGACTGGTGGTACCTGCTATGATTACAGCAATGCATATTGTGGTACCTGCTATAATTACAGCAGTGCATACTGCTGTGTTGGTACCTGCTATGATTACAGCAGTGCATACTGCTGTGTTGGTACCTGCTATGATTACAGCAGTGCATACTGCTGTGTTGGTACCTGCTATGATTACAGCAGTGCATATTGTGGTGGTACTTGCTATGATTACAGCAGTGCATACTGCTGTGGTGATACCTGCTATGATTACAGCAGTGCATATTGTGGTGGTATCTGCTATGATGAGAGGAGTACATATTGTGGTGGTGGTACCTGCTATGATGACAGCAGTACAGATCGAGTGTGGTGGCACCTGCTATGATGACAGCAGTACATACTGTGGTGGTACTTGCTATGATGACAGCAGTACAGTGATCCCTCGTTTATCGCGGTTAATGGGGACCGGAACCCATCGCGATAGGTGAAAATCCGCGAAGTAGGATTGGCCCCCTAGGAATTTCCGTATATGTGTGTGTGGGTACCAGAATGTTTAAATATGTATATTTATATTTTATATATATATTTTACTTAAATCTATTTAATTATAAAACCTTAATATTATACATTCACTCTCTCTCTCATACGATACGTATTATGGTGTTCTACACTCACCAATGACAGTAGTATCTTGAGACTTGACTCCAGTAATGACGACGATGACGATGACAATGACGACGATGACAGACCTGTGCAGTTCGATGAATGTGATGATGGATGATGATGATGGTGTTACTGCACAGGTATAATGAGGCCTTTAAATCAGTTCAAAAAATCCGCGATGCACTGAGGCCGCGAAACTTGAACCACGAAGTGGCGAGGGATTACTGTACATACTGTGGTGGTGGTACCTACTATGATTACAGCAGTGCATGTTGACTACTCACCACTCATCCTCACCACTCTCCCTCACCACTCACCCTCACCACTCACCCTCACCACTCACCCTCACCATTCAGCCTCACCACTCACCCTCACCACTCACCGTCACAACCACCACTCACCCTCACCACTCACCACTCAACCTCACCCTCACCTTGACCACTCAACCTCACTACTCACCACTCATCCTCACCAATCACCAGTGACCAATCAACACTTACCCTCACCACTCTCCACTCACCCTCACCATTCAGCCTCACCACTCAAACTCACCACTCACCCTCACCACTAACCACTCTCACCACTCTCACCACTCTCACCACTCTCTCACCACTCTCCCTCACCACTCACCCTCACCACTCCCCACTCTCCCTCACCACTCATTCTCACCATTCACCCTCACCATTCAGCCTCACCACTCACCGTCACAACCACCACTCACCCTCACCACTCACCACTCAACCTCACCCTCACTACTCACCACT